TTACTTAGTTGCATTAGTGGTTGGATTTGAGGCTTTTAACGTGTTTTTCATCAGTACCTCTGGGAAAAGGATAACCAAGACCTTTAAATGTACTATGCATTTTGCATCACTATGTAATTGTAAGTACTGTGATGAAATATTGAAATGATCATGAAAGATGATGACCATTAAGCTTTTCTTTTAACTATTAAAACTCACTAAGGGTTATATTGAACTGTGGTTTATGAAATTGTTTAGCCTAACACCTTCCTTGATGATTGTTTCTGAAGTGGAGAAAAATGGTTTAGGATAGCATAGTTCATGAATATTCTTTTTAGTTTTGGCAACTTCTGTGAATTACTGTAGAGAATGTTTTATTATGGAGAAAACTTGTTGGCTTTGACTAACACCTGGATTATAAACAAATTGAAAAAATATTCTCATGGACTTCAGATTCTTTTTATATAGGTTATTCTTTTTAGTATACATTTGTATATCTGGCATTTGGTATTAAATGATAATAATTAGTAATTAGGACTGTATTATAGAGAAATGGAAACATTAAGATATTCCTGAGATTTGTGATAATTTTTAACAATAACCAAAAGTGTAAGATTTGTATTTTCATTTTATTCCTAATTTTAGCCATTTTTAAAAAATTAATGAGAACATTTTATTTCAGGTTATTATGTAATAATTACTGAAGGTTAACAAATATGGGTTTATAGATGATCCTCAAGAAAACCAGAAGCATAATGTATTACTAGTAATAAATTTGAGTTTCCGAGCCTCCATAAAACACTGAACTTCTTCAATTATATATGTACCTTCATGTCTAATTTGTTTTTAGTTGAAAAGAAATATTTCATGTGACATACCAAGATAAGTTTAGGTTCTAAAATTTTTAGTGTGGTTAAGTTTTGATAGTTATACTAACTTTAAACTTGTTTTCAGTCTAACCTCAATAATACTACGTAAAATCTTTGTGAAATCTAAATGGCACAATTTCTGATTTGACAATGTAAGTAAAAGTTTCTGTATATGATGAAAAGAAAATCTCAATGATGTTTACCCTTTACCTGCCTACTTAATGTATGAGTCTTCCTGCTGTTACCTGTTTCATCCATGTGTAGTTTTGAGTTTTGTCTGAATTATGTAACAAAAATCCTTTCCCAATGCAATTTTGGATCAGACCAAATGGATTTGAGAAAAATAGTACTAGTAAATACTTTTTTATTACTAATTTTTAAAAGACTTTACTTTTTAGAGCAGTTGTAGGTTCACAGCAAAATTGAGCAAAAGTTAGAGATTTCCCACGTTCCTCTTTCCCCTACACACACATAGCCTTCTCTCTTGTCAACATTCTTCACCAGACTGGTATGTGTGTTATAGTCAATGAACCTACATTGACATATTATCATTCAAAGTCCATAGTTTACATTAGGGTTCACTGTGGTGTTCTACATTCTGTGAGTTTAGACAAATGCATAATGGTGTGTCTTCATCATCATAGTTTCATACAGAGTAGTTTTACTGCCCTAAAAATCCTTTGTGCTCCCCTCCATTCCCACTAACCCCTGTAAACACGGATCTTTTTACATTTCTCCATAGTTTTGCCTTTTCCAAAATGTTGTATAGTAGGAATCATACAGTATGTAACCTTTTCATATTAGTTTCTTTCTCTTAGTAATGTCCTTTCATGGCTTGAAAGCTCTTTTTTTTTTTTTTTTTTTTTTTTAAAGCACTGAATGATATTCCATTGTCTGGTTGTACCACAATTTATTTGTCCATTCACCTTCTGAATGACATTTTGTTTGCTTCTAAGTTTTGGCATTTATGAATAAAGCTGCTATAAATCTCCATGTACAAATTTCTAAGTGGTCATAAGTTTTCAACTCCCTTGGTTAAACACTAAAAAGTGAAATTGCTGGATCTTATGGTAAGAGTAGGTTTAGTTTTGTTAGGAACCACCGAACTGTCTTTCAATGAGACTGCATCATTTTGCATTCCTACCAGCAAAGACTGAGATTTCATTTATTCTTGTACCACATCCTTGTATTAGGTGATGTCAGTGTACTGGATTTTGGCCATTCTAACAGGTGTCTAATGGTATCTAGTCTTTTCCCCGATGACAAGTGGAGAATCTTTCATATGCTTATTTGCCATTTGTATATCTTCCTTGGTGTCAAAGTGTCAAAGTCTTTGGCCCATTGTTTAATGTTATTGTTTGTTTTTGTTGACTTTTAAGAGTTCTTTGTATATTTTGCACAACAATTCTTTATCGGATGCCTGTTACAAGTGATTTTATCCCAGTCTGTGACTTGTTATTACTGATACATGGGAAAGTGGTTGACTTTGTATATTAACCTTGTATCCTGCAACCTTGCTATTTATTGCTTATTCCGGGATTTTTTTGTAGATTATTTAAGATTTTCTATATAGATGATCATGTCATCAGCAAAGACTGTTTTATTTCTTCTTTTTCAATTTTTATCCATTTTTTGGTCTCACTGCATTAGCCAAGACTTCCAGAATGATGTTGAAAGATAGTGGTGAGAGGGGACATTCTTGACTTTTTTCCTGACAGTGGATACTTATAAAAGTAAAATGACTAAAGATTTATGTATAGAATTTTAGTTCCTTTGTAATTACTGGCTTCTTTTTTTCTAGCAAGAAAAGTAATTTTTTTTCATTTTCTTCTTTAAGTTTCTATTTTGAAATTTTCTGTAAGTTAAATGATGTAAATGAAAACTCACTCAACTTGAGGTCTCACCTTCCTTCCTATTCTTGTATTATGTTAAATTTCTAGTTGGGTTTCCAAGAATATTATGTTAGGTATAAGAGCTGAGGAGTGAACATATGCTTGTGTTGTTTGGCTGTGGCATCTCTTGAGGCATCATACTTCTTGCTGATCACTTGCTACCTATCCACAAAGGTCACAGTTACGTTCTCTTCGTCTTCTTAAATCCTAAGCTGCTTCTGCATCCTTCTGTGATAATTTTTTGAATCTTCCTAGTTGAGGTCCATCTGTCTTTAAATTTGTTTCTGTTCTACTGTTCTTGTGCATTACTAAATTTAGGGTAAGTCTTTGAGTCTTATTATTCTCTCTGTGCTGTGCTTGGGAAGTTAGGTGTGGGACCCTCTGTACCAAAAAAAAAAAAAAAAAATTGGAGATTTCTGCTTTTTTAAATCATTCTCCTACCTTTTGAAAAGAGAGGAAGTTGTGGCACTTGCCCTTCTCTCAAGAAAATGGTCTTGTGGAATTTGATTGCTTCCCTTTGGACAACTTGTCTTCATTTTATTTTGATGGAAAGAAAATGGTTTTAAATTAAATTCATATTTCTGTTTTATATTGGTTTGTTTTTTCCTCATTAGAAAAATTAATATCTGTTTTACAGTTTTGGTAAAATATGAATTCAATATGAATTTTCAGAGAGCATATATTATACAATTACAAGTCATGAATTTCTAAATGTTAGTACATTTTAGAGTAATAAAAATTATACCTAGAATAAACTTTTAAAAGAGAATATCTAAGACCTGCAGATGTAGCATAATCTGCCTAAGGATATATTTTGTTAGTATCAGAATAAGAACATGGATTTTATGACTTTGTTTCTTGTTCATTCCTTAAGAATACATTACCTTTTCTTCTCTGCTGGTTCTAGACAGTGACTATCCTCCAATGTCTTACTGATTTTCTATTTAATTTTTATTCTACTGTATATTTTCTGTTAGCACAGTTATGCTAACACTGTTCATAAAATATAATTCTTTGACAAAATCATGTCGTGTGATTGTTTTAATCTCAAGAACCACCTTGAGTTTTTCAAAACACAAAAGAAGGTAGTACAAAAGTGGACATAGAAAAGAGAATGTAGAAGAGACAGGATGAAACTGAAAAAGAAAAGAATTTGGAGTGGAACAGAATAGACATTAGGGCGAAATTGCCTGGAATTTCAAAGTCTTGGAGTTATTACACTCAGAAAATATGAATATGGTTTTCTGGTGAGCAGTGATAAGTAGCCAGACATGGCCTTTTGATTTGGGTTTTATGAAAGGACAAAGAAAGATTAGTTGAGAGATATTATGTAGTTAGAATACAAAGAGTTCCTTAAATATTAAGAAATAGGAAGATTATGTATGTATTTCCAGTTCTTTAAAAAAAAATCTCTGTGTGTGTGTTTATGTAGGCACACATACATACACGCACACACATGCACACACGCACACACACATACACACACACACACACACACAAGTGCATTTACTGGCATTTTTCAAATCTAGGTATATTTCAATTCATGTAGGCCTTTCCTTATTGTATTAATGCTTATTATGTATGTATTTTGTTATAAGGATTAAAATATTCATTTGTACATACTCTATTGATTGATTTCATTCCTAGGCTTTTTAATGGATTGCTTTTTAGTGGATAAAGTTTAATGGATATATTTCAAATGGATCAAAAATATAGTTAGTAGATTTATACCAGATATTACTAATTCGTAGGGTAATGAATTATAGTTTTCTAACTCAAAACTGGTTTAGCTCAATTCACTGATTTTTCTAATCTTATTTTCAATTGCTAGTCATCAATTTTTATGGTGAACTATGCTGTTTTTATTAGGGTTATTGAACTATTTAATTGTTTCTTCTCTTCATTTTGGATAATATATCTTTTAAAAAAATCAAAAAACAAAGCCACAACAAAAATATCTATTTGTCCTTGGTTTTCTTTGTTACCTTCTTTCCCAACTCCCAACTATTTTAGATAAATTAGTATATCGTGTTACAGAACGAAAAGGGCAAGATAAATATAGATAGGCTCATTTAATTTACATAGAATCAAATTGTTGCTAGCTTGTTTAGTGTCAGTATCACCTATTCATATGTTTTAAAATAACTTTTAAGAGTTAGGTATGAAATTGATATGGGTGATATTTTTCATTATTATTGTTTTAAAATAACCTACTGAGTGACATTTCTTCAGCTATTTTTGCTTTTTTTTTTTTTTATAGGAGTGGCAAAATTCTATTCAGAAGAACGCAGGCCTTGCTTTTATCGAACTTGTCAATGAAGGAAGGTAATCTATTTTATTTTAATTCATTTTGTATTTTTCTTTAAAATCTTGTGTTTTTCCCATAGGCATTGATATTTTAGGGTTCTGTGTTTACTATTTGTTCAGTCAGTAATGTAATGGAGCTCTGATATATCAATTATTATGTATTTGTTAATATTTAACCATTTAATAATTTTCTTTAGAGACATGCTTACTGATACAGTTCTAATTTTTATTTTTCAATATGTGTGGCTGAGTTTGGGAAAAGTAAACTGATAATTCTATTTGCAGGTATAAGGAAAAGCTATACTTATTTGGACTTCCTATCAAGTTCCTTTATGTGTATAGAGCCAATAATTAGAATTAGATGTCTATATTATCTTTCTTATATCACAGGCTGACTGTAAGGGGAGAGGGAACAGGTTTCGAAATGTGATGTGATGAGAAAGGTGATAGACGAAATAAGTAGGTATGTTTTCCACTTAAAGAGCAGAAACAGAAGAATTCAAGGAATGAAAATTCAGTGGTGGGTAAAAGAAGGGAAGAAAGTGCAGAGATGAAAAGAGAGATAAAAGGGAGAAAACAAATGTAAAAGAGTGAAAGAATTAAAAGGTAAAAAGAAATTGAGGAAATGATTAAGTGGATCACTTTTTGTCTGATTTGTAGTAGCTGATTTTGCATTAATGGAACTGAAGACCCAGAGTATAGATTAAAAGATGCTACTGACTCCCCTTTGAGATAGTATTCTGAACAAACTTACTGTTTCAGCAGTGTTCGATTAGTGTTTTGGGTAATGTTGTTGGAAGATTGACCCTATCAGTCCTTTGATAACTATTTGAACTTGCGTGTAAGAATGAAAGCTTGCTCTCTATCTCTCATAAATGTTATGGAAAAGGGAGAAAAGAGTATTCGTAACTTTATTTGATTTTAAATACTACTAAAATCCTTTCCCTCAGAAATAATTACAGGTGCTCACAGACTAGTAACCTGCAATTATAATACTTCATGCTGAATTCTGTGATGGAAATATGTAAGTACAGGGTGCTTAAAACTTAACCAGGAAACATGATTCTTGAGAGGCATTTCAAGGATCAGTATGATTTGTCATGTAAACATTAGAAAATTGGAGGTTATGGAAAAATTGGAGGACATTTGTGTGAAAAATGTTTCAAACACAGGTAACAGAATATCTGAAGGCATTGTAATGTGGGAAGTTATCTAGGATATTCGTGTGCGTGTGTGTTTGTGTATGTGTGTGTGTGTGTGTGTGTGTGTGTTGGAGAGGTGGTGTTGGAATTGGACATCTAGATTCCTCAAGAGAGTGGGAAACCTTGGAAGATTTCAAACAAAAGAAGTCATTGTGATATTTGGGGCTTGGAAAGACTAACTGGCAGAATTATTTAGGATAGGTTGAAGGAGGGAAGATCTGATTGAAATGAACAACAGTAGCAAGGTTACTACAATGATCTATATGAAAAATAGAGCTACATTTTCATGTAGAATGTGGCAAGTAGTAGGTGATCAATAAAAACTGATATAGATTTATAGCAGTGATTACTAATTCATAGGGCAATGAATAAAATAATGACTAATTCTTTACTCTTCCTTTTAGTAAACATTTCAAAGTGTATAGTTATTGAAAAATAGCTTTTGGCTGATTTCAACACTAAGGTATTGGCTGATACTGAAGTTTATATACAGAAAAAGAGGTAACTGGAGCAGTTGATTAAATATACAAATGTTCTGCTTAATGCAAAACACCCATGAGCAGATTTTTTATAATTTTTAGTGTTTATTGAAGTGTAATTCCTGGGCTTTTTAAAGAAAAATTTATATGAGGTGATTTTGATCATTGTAGACTTTACTAAATGTAACTACCCTTACTTATGTATGTTACTGTTACATTTAATAGGTGAGGCAACATAGACTTATGATTAAGAGCATTGGCTTTGAAGATAGGCCTGGGTTCAGGTTTCAGCTTTGATACTTGGCAAGTGCTTTTGGTTTTTGAGCTTCAATTCCTCATCCATTTATTATATATTATGTCCCAGGAATTATTATTGCTACTGAGGATACAGTGCAATAAACAAAATAGATAAAGATTCTTTTTTTGTGTATGGATTGTGTATTCAAGTAGGCATTGACAGATTTTGAACAATAAAAAAATAAATAGGTTATATAATATGTGAATGATGGTCAGTACTATGAGAAAAGAAAATATGGAGCAGATGAGGGGAATTAAATTTTTGAAGGAAGTAGAAAAGGTTGGTATGGTTTGTAGTTAAAATACAGTGGCAGGATTAGGACTCATTGAGAAAGTAACATTGGAGCAAGCACTTGAAGAACACAGGGAGTCAGTTAAAGGGCCATGTATGGAAAAGCATAGGGAACAGCCAGTGTACAAGTGAGAGCCTGTGTAGTGTGTTTGAGGAATGAGGCCAATATAGCAAGAAAAGAGTGATTAAAGTAGAATGAAATAGGAAGTAAGGTCAGAGATATAACATAGGGCAAGATTTTGTGTAGAGGCTTTATAATTTATTCTGTGGGAAACGACAGCCATTGCACGATTTTGAGAAGAGGAAGACAGTCTCCCTTATGAATTAAAAAGATCACTCTGGGATGGGTGCAGTGGCTCACACCTGTAATCCCAGCACTTTGGGAGGCTGAGGTGGGTGACTTGCTAGAGCCCAGGAGTTCAAAACCAGCCTGGGCAACATGGTGAAACTCTGTCTACAAAAAAAGCGAACAATTAACCTGGTATGGTGGCAGGGGCCTGTAGCACCAGCTACTTGGAAAGCTGTCAGGTGGGAGGATCCCTTGGGTCTAGGAAGACGAGGCTGCAATGAGCTGTGATCATGCTACTACAGTGTAGCCTGGGAGATAGAGCAAGACCCTGCTTTGGGGGACAAAGAATTACTATGACTGATGCATGTAGGAATTTAAGGATAAAAGTGAAGAGATCAGCCAGAAGCAGTGGCTTATGTCTGGTTCCAGCACTTTGAGAGGCCGAGGTGGGAGGATCTCTTGAGCCCGAGAGTTCGAGACCAGCCTGGGCAACATAGTGAGACCCTGTCTCTACAGAAAATAAAAAGGATTAGTTGGGTGTGGTGGCGTGCACCTGTGATCCCAGCTACATGGGAGGGTGAGGCAGGAAGATCACTTGAGCCCAGGAGGTCGAGGCTGCAGTGAGCTGTGTTCACGTCACTGTGAGCTGTGTTCACGTCACTTCACTCCATCCTGGGCAGTAGAATGAGACCCTGTCTCAAAAACAAACAAACAAATCAACAACAACAACAAAAAACAAAGAGATCAATTAGGGGGCTATTGTAGTAATTCTGGTTAAACATGATGGTGACTGGGACAAGGTTGCTAGCAGTAGAGGAGGTAAAAAGTAGTAGGATTGTGAACCTATTTTGAAGATAAGACCTGACAGGATATCCTAATGGCTTGGATGTGGGTTTAAAGCCAGGCATCACTCTTAAGATTTTTGGCCTTGTAAGTAGAGATACCAAATGCCTTTGTTTTGCATTACCATTCAAAGATCTTTATATATCAGACATCTTCGGAATATAGAAATAGTGTCTCCATTTGGAACAAAGCAAGATCATTTACTGTCTAGTATAATAATGTCTCTCTCTGAGCCAAAGACCAACAGACCTACTGGCCATCGCAAAAGATTCAAGTGCCATAAGCTCAGAGTTCCTCTCTTGTAACACACTTTACTGCATATACAGGTGTCTGTTGGACCTGTGTTATTCTGTGGGAACTGAGACTTGAAGGTACTGGCACAAATGCTAATACTCTGGCTATTGCTATTTCTGAAAATTTGTTGAAACAGTTGTTTGAAAAATTTATTTTTATATCATCTGTTACCGTTTTCATAGTACCCTTTCTCTGACTTTTTGCCTTTGCTTTTCTTATTCTGTTTAGATTTTTTAGCCTCCCATAGTTAGAAACTCTTTTCTTTACTTCACTGCTTAGCCTATAGAGAACACTCAGCCTTTATCTTTTAAGTGTTTGAAATAAACAGTGGTGGAAGCTAAGAGTGATTAGTAAAATAGTGGAGGTAAAATTGGAAATTTTCATTCTCTCTTTATTTACAGTGTAGAATATATTTTAAGGGAAAATTTTAGTGGGTTATTTTTGTAAATCAGTGGATTTGGCTTTCCTTTTATAAATATTTAGTGCCTTGAGGTTAAATGAGTTTTCATAGGAATAGATGTGTTTGTGAAGTAGTTTGGAGTGTTTGACTACTAGACTTAATCCCAGGGGCAGGAAGAATAATAATAAGGATTTTCCTTTTTACTGCAAAGACTAACCTTTTTTCTTCTTATTATGTAAGTCTGACCTGCCTTGACCTCATTTATAGCGTAGCTGCTATAAATTTTGCCCTTGATTAATGTTTTATTAGTGTAAATAACATGAAGACCTTTATAGACAGACTACAGCATAAGGTCTAACAGACTTGAAGAGTATCATTAGCAAATCAATTACTAAGTTCAGACATAAGTGATTGTTGTTTGGTAGAAACTGCTGATGTTTTCTAGGTAGCTATGATCAAGACAGCTGCTCTATGAGATGTTATTCTGTGAAATTTATAGTGATTTGCTGATGGTCTCTTTAACTTACATTTGTTTAATAAGATATTTTTAAATACATTGTTTTGGTAATTTTGAGTTCAATTATTGGTATTTTTTATGTAAACAACACTCCATTTTAAACAAATTTATAGAGCTAGAATAATTGATAATCACTGACATAATTGTTACAACCTTGATGACTTAAAAGAGAAAAAAAATACATATACTTACAATAAAAGATTTCAGTTAAAAAATGAAATTTTCACATATTATGAGCAAGAACATTGTTATTCCTGAATGATAATTTTGTTTATGAGTGTTTTATGATATCTTGAATCATTATTATCACCACCTCCGTTTATGTTTTAAATATGCAAGTGATAGATCTAAAAGAATTTTCTTATTCTTGAAAGGCACAACTTTCTTTAAATCAATAGTTTTAAA